CTGTGATATAAGGGAAGGTGTTTGTGTGAGTGTGGTCGAAGGTATATAGTATGTACAGATATATATGTTTAGGAGAGAGAGAGAGAGAGAGAGAGAGAGAGTTACGAACCTTTAAAATTAATAAATCTGTCTTTATTGATCCATTGTAACCAAATATTCTATCACAAAAATTTCCAAACCTTGAAAAATCTCTTAGAAAAATTCAAGCACTTTGAAGGACTTTTTTGGGGGGTGAGGAGGTGATGGAGAGGTGATGGAGAGGTGATGGAGGGGTGATGGAGGGGTGATGGAGGTGGTGGTGGAGGAGTGGGGTTGAGAGGTGATGGAAAGGGGTGAGGAAGGATGGACGATGGGTGATGGAGGGTGGTGGAGGGGTGATGGAGGGATGATGGAGGGTGATGGAGGGATGGTGGAGGGATGGGAGGGTGATGGAGTGGTGGAGGGTGATGGAGGATGGTGGAGGGGTATGAGGATGGGGAGGGGTGATGGAGGGATGGTGGAGGGTGATGGAGGGTGATGGAGGGATGGTGGAGGTGGAGGGTGGGGGGTCCTCAGCGTCCACCAACAGTCAACCACCTCCATAAAACCTCCTCACTCACATCCGCCCCTCCACCCTGATTACCTTGACCTTCTCTCCGGTCCTCCTCCACACCTCCCTGCCCTCCACACTCCTCCCAGCCCTCCACACTCCCTCCCTGCCTCCACCTCCCTCCTGCCCTCCCACACCCTCCCAGCCTCCACACTCCCTCCCTGCCCTCCACACTCCCTCCCTGCCCTCCACACTCTCCTCCTGCCCTCCACACTCCTTCCTGCCCTCCACACTCCCTCCCCGCCTCCACACTCCCTCCCTGCCCTCCACACCTCCCTGCCCTCCACACCCCCTCCCCAGCCCCACACCTCCCCCCCCTCCCCTGCCCCCTCCACACTCCCTCCCTAGCCCTCCACACTCCTCCCTGCCCTCCACACTCCCTCCCTGCCTCCACACTCCCCCCTCCCAGCCCCCCACACTCCCTCCTCCCTGCCCTCCACACCTCCTCCCTGCCCTCCACACTCCTCCCTGCCCTCCACACCTCCCCTCCCCTGCCTCCACACTCCCTCCTGCCCTCCACACCTCCCTGACCTCCACACTCCCTCCCTGCCCTCCACACTCCCTCCCTGATCTCCCTATCCTCCACATTCACTCCCTACTCCCCCACTGTCCTTCTCTCCCTCCTTCCTTTCCTCCCAACAAACACACAACAAACACACAGTACCGAACAAACACACAACAAACACACAGTACCGCACAAACACACAACAAACACACAGTACTGCACACAAACACAAACACACAGTACCGCACAAACACACAACAAACACACAGTACTGCACAAACACACAACAAACACACAGTACCGCACAAACACACAACAAACACACAGTACTGCAAAACACAGTACTGAAAACACACACAAACACACAGTACCGCACAAACACACACAAACACACAGTACTGCACAAACACACACAAACACAGTACGCACAACACACAACAAACACACAGTACGCACAAACACACACACAAACACACAGTACCGCACAAACACACAACAAACACACAGTACCGCACAAACACATGAAAACCCGTCCAGCGCATCGCAGAAAGACGACCTACCAAAAGAAGACCTCCTCCTCCCTCCTCCCTCCCTCCTCCCTCCTGATGTGACTACTCATGCTGGCACCACACTGTCGTCAACTCCTCCTTCCCTCCACCTACTATGAGGATTTCGCCCTTCCTCCCTAGTAGGTAAAGAAGGAGGGATTCTTAAAGCCACCATCCTTCCCTCCACCCATCACAAGGAGTCAATATTTCCTCCACCTCCTTTGAGGGATTCTGTTCCTTCCTCCACCTAGGTAAAGGATTATGTGCTTCCCTCCACCAGGTAAGCACACTGCCTCCTTCCCTCCACCAGGTAAGGTAGCACACTGCCTCCCTTCCCTCCACCAGGTAAGCACACTACCTCCCTCTCCACCAGGTAAGCACACTGCCTCCCTTTCCCTCCACCAGGTAAGCACACCTCCCTTCCCTCCACCAGGTAAGCACACTGCCTCCTTCCCTCCACCAGGTAAGCACACCTACCTCCCTTCCTCCACCAGGTAAGCACACTGCCTCCCTTCCCTCCTACCAGGTAAGCACTGCCTCCCTTCCTCCACCAGGTAAGCACACTGCCCCTTCCCTCCACCAGGTAAGCACACTGCCTCCCTTCCCTCCACCAGGTAAGCACACTGCCCTCTCCACCAGGTAAGCACACTACCTCCCTTCCCTCCACCAGGTAAGCACACTGCCTCCCTTCCCTCCACCAGGTAAGCACACTACCTCCCTTCCCTCCACCAGGTAAGCGCACTACCTCCCTTCCCTCCAGCGAGGGCCTCCGCCTGCCCTCCACCCAGGCCCGGGGACGCTGGTGCTCCTAAAGCGGCGTGGGGCGGCCTCAGCTCGCCTTCTATGGCCACCACCCGACCAGACCCACATCTGCGTGCCCGCACCCACACCACGGCTGCCAGGGGGACGTGTACCTGGGACGTGTGTGGTTAGTGGACGTACGTGTAGGGACGTATGTGGCTAGTGGACGTGTGTGGTTTGTGGACGTACGTGGTAGTGGGACGTGTGCGTGGTTAGTGGACGTGCATGTGGCAGGGACGTGTATGTGGCTAATGGAACGTGTGCGTGACTTGGGGACGTGTGCGTGGCTTGGGACGTGACTTGTGGGACGTGTGTGTGTGGCTTGGGACTTTTGTAATGACGTACGTGGTTAGTAGGACGAGATCAGGGGATGGGGTCAGGGGTCAGGATCAGGGGATTGGGTGGGGTCAGGATCAGGGGATGGGGTCAGGGTCAGGATTAGGGGATCGGGATCAGGAGGATGAGGTCATGAGGTCAGGGGATCGAGTTCAGAGGGTCAGGATCAGTGGGATAGGGTCAGGGGGTCAAGATCAGGGGGATGGGTAGAGTGTCAGGGGGACGAAAGAGGAGCAAAGAGTATTGAAGGAGGAGACAAAGAAACGAAGAGGAGAGAGAGAGAGAGAGAGGAGACAGAAACGACGGGTAATAATCACAAGATCATAATAGACAGTATAACAGATGTAACCTGACAGATTAATCCGACAATATGTGACAGGTGGACAGATGTGACATGGACAGGTGTGACAGGCGGACAGGTGTGATAGATAGACAGGTGTTTGATATATGAACAGGTGTGACAGGCGGACAGATATGATAGATAGACAGGTGTTTGATATATGAAAACGTTTGTTCAATGGAAATAGTAGACAGATGGTGCAAGTGACAGGTGTGAGACAGGTGTAACAAGAGGACAGATGTGACAGGTGTTTGATATACGTATTATGGATATGGGAGCACCTGGTTAAGTGGATTAGTCGCCCCTCCACACCCCCTCCTCCCACTCCACTCTGCCCCTCCACACCCTCCCTCCCACTCCACCTACTCCCTCCACTTTATCCTCATCCTTTCTCCTCATATTCTCATTCTGATTTTCATCCACCTATTCGTCCTCTCCTCCCCCAACTCGCCCCCTCTTCCTCCCTCACTGATCTTCCTCCCCTACTCGACCTTCCCTCCCCTACTGACCTTCCCTCCCCCTACTCTGCCCCTTCCTCCACCTACTGACCTTCCCTCTCCCCTACTCGACCTTCCCTCTCCCTACTGCTGCCCTTCTCCCTCACTCCGACCTCCTCCCCTACTCGACCTTCCTCTCCCCACTCGACCTTCTCCTCCCTACTCGACCTTCCCCCTCCCTACTCGACCTTCCCTCCACCTACTCGACCTTCCCTCCACCTACTGACCTTCCTCCACCTACTCGACCTCCCTCCCTACTCGACCTTCCCTCCCCACTCGACCTTCCTCCACCTACTGACCTTCCCTCCCCCCTACCTGCCCTCTCCACCTACTGACCTTCTCCACTCCTCGCCTTCCCTCCCCTACTCGACCTTCCTCTCCCTACTGACCTTCCCTCCCCTACTCGACCTTCCTCCCCTACCTCGACCTCCTCCACTTCCACTGACCTTCCTCTCCCTACTGCCCTTTCCCTCCCCTACTGACCTTCCTCCTCATTTCCGACCTCCACTCATTGACCTTCCTCCCCCTACTCGACCTTCCCTCTCCCCCTTATTCCTTGACTCTCTCCTCCCCTTACTCGACCTTCCTCCCCTACTCGACCTTCCTCCCCACTTATGTCTTCACTTGACCTCATATTGCAAAGAGAAGACCACACTGTCATCCAGCACCTGTTGATTCTCTCTCTTTTTCTCTCTCACACACATTCTTACCTCAGGGTGTGAATGTTACAAGGGAGGGTAGTGGTGGTGCCTGTGGGAATGTTACAAGGAGGTAGTGGTGGTGCCTGTGGTGGAATGTTACAAGGAGGGTAGTGGTGGTGCCTGGTGGTGTGAATGTTACAAGGAGGGTAGGGAGATTGGTGGTGGAATGTTACAAGGAGGGTAGTGGTGATGCCTGTGGTGGAATACAAGGGAGGGTAGTGGTGGTGCCTGGTGGGTGTGAATGTTACAAGGGAGGGTAGTGGTGATGCCTGGTGGGTGTGAATGTTGCAAGGGAGGGTGTGAGTGTGTAAATGTCGAGGAAGAATGTTATCAGGGAGAGAGTTATGGTGAACAAGGGCTGAACCGACGATGTTGAATGTGCTGCTGCTGTAAGAATATTATTTTGATTGTCCATAAAGTTAAAAGTGGTCTATATAAGGTGTGTGTGTGTGTGTGTGTGTGTGTGTGTGTGTGTGTGTGTGTGTGTGTAAGATTTACGTAAGGTTATATGCCTTTATTAATATGACCCGTAAATTTTACGAGGACAATGCCGGGATATAACTCGGAGATTAACGAGACCAGCCAGACTAAGACCCCAGTGACATACCCGGAAGTAGGACATACCCAGAGAGTGACCCGGAAGTAGGACATACCCAGAAAGTGACCCGGAAACAAGGACTTACCTGTCGCCGTTGTGCAGGGCGGTGATTGGCGGGTCAGGCGGGGGGTCAGGGGAGAGCGGACGCGTCTTGGACAACACCTGGCTGTTGACCAATGAGGGAGAGAGAACCCGTATATCGCTCCGCCCCTCGTCGTCATCGTCACCAATCAGCGAAGAACGGACAGTGAAGGGGGGCGGGGCTGCATGGTTGCCCAAAACCTTGCTTAATCTTAATCTATTCGTTAAACTTGCTTGTTTCTCGAGTTGCAATGAGGTAGTTCTCAAGTTGGATTTCGATGTGAGACTGGGTGAGATCTGTGAGGTGATTGGCGGAGAGGAGGCAAGGGACGGGGATGTGATTGGAGGAGAGGAGGTGAGGGAAGGGGAATTGGAGGGGAGGGTAGCCAGAGGCGGGCACGTGATTGGTGGAGAAGTGTCGGAGGGGGAGGGACTTCCACTCAACGTCATCTGCTCGTCATCCTCTACCGACTCCCCACTCTGCATAGTTTCTGTAAAGTAAACAAATAAAACAAATAAAATAAAGATAAAACAAAAACAAAGCACAAGTAATATAATACAACAAAAACATTACAAATAAAAATGGGGTGGGGTGGGGTGGGTGGGGTGGGCAAGAAGTGCCTGGTCAGGCAAAGGCCAGGTAGGTCAGGTAGGAGGTCAGGCAAGAGGTCAGGTAGGAGGTCAGGCAAGAGGTCAGGTAGGAGGTCAGGTAGTAGGGCAAGCAAGAGGGCAGGTAGGAGGTCAGGTAGGAGGGCAGGCAAGAGGTCAGGTAGGTAAGATGGTAGGTAAGAAGTCAGACAGAGGTTGGGAGTTCGGGAAGGCAGGAGGGCAGGCGGTCAAGAGGTCGGGAGGGTACGAGGTCTGCCGGCGGGCAGGTAGAGGTCGAGCAGGCGGACAGAGAGGTCAAGCAGGTAGGGTGGTCAGGAGGTCGTACAGGTAGGAGGGTCAGAAGGGAGGTAACGTTTACCCTCCCTACCTCCATGGGTACTGAGGAGGTTAAAGACCAAAGAGGTTAATATTCCGGGCACGGGGGGGTATAAGGTGCCCACGTGTGTTGACCTCCACCATCTGATTTAGGATCCAGTTAATGCTCCAACCTCCAGGTTTTATATCTAGAAGTGTAAGTAATAAGAGTGCAGAGGTCATATTGCAACTATATCTTGAGCTAGTCAGGCCGCACCTCGATTATGCGGTTCAGTTCTGGTGCCCTTATTATAGAATGGATATCAATTCACTAGAGTCGGTGCAGCGAAGAATGACAAAAATGATTCCGGGATCTTAGAAACCTTCCATACTGTGGATAGGTTAAAGCAAACTTAACTTGCATTCCCTAGAAAGACGTGAAGAGTGCGGGGAGATATGATAGAAGCATTTTGGGTGAAAAGGAATCAATAAAGATCTACACATCCGAGCAGGATAGGACTCGGAGCAACGGATTCAAGTTGGATAAGTTTAGGTTTAGGTGAGGGAGATAGGAAGAAACTGGTTCACAAATAGGGTGGTGGACGAGTGGAACAAGCTTAGCAACTATGTAGTAAGTGCTGGAACTCTGGAAAGTTTCAAAAGGAGGCTGGATAGATTCATGGATGATAGAGAGTGGTAGTAACTCTCGACAGGAGCTGCCATGCACAGGCCAACCGGCCTATTGCAGACTCCTTATTTTCTTGTTTTCTTAATTAATGCCCCAACCTCCAGCTTTAAGGCCCCTTTAATGCCCCAACTCCTATGACCCCAAACAACAACTATTCCTATGACCCTAAAGCCCTCAACAATTATTCTGCACTAAAGCTCTCTAAAGCCCTCAACAACTATTCCTATGACACAAGCCCTCAACAATTATTCATATGACCCCTAAAGCTATCAACCACTATTCCTATGACCCCTCGAAGCTATTAAGAGAATTAGGAGATGTCAATTGCAAAGCCAAGCCGACATACCAAAGCTAGCTATTGTTATTCTGTCCGTCTGTTCGGTTATGTAGATTGAAAAGCGACCCTGTGCCCCCTAGTCAGAGAGTGAGGCCAGTATCTCAACTAAATTTACAGCCGTGAAAGCCAAGCAAACAATTACTGAACTACTTGATGTGTGTGTGTGTGTGTGTGTGTGTGTGTGTGTGTGTGTGTGTGTGTGTGTGTGTGTGTGTTATATTTGTCCTTTTCTTCTCTTTCTTATATTTATTTTGTGAAATGTGTTTTAGTTGATAGGGGTTTTGAGGTAGTAGTTCATGTTGGTTTTATATTTGTCCAGGGATTTTTAAAAGGTTTTTATTAATTTTGGTTTATATTTGATGTTGAGATGGTATTCGTCTCTCTCTCTCTCTTTATCTATCTATCTATCTCTATCTCTCTCAGCATGTATAAATATTTTACCTCTCATTTCCCAACACCCCTTCCTTCTCTCCCAACACCCTCCCTTCCTTCCCACTCCTTCCTTCCTTCCCACACCCTCCCTTCCCTCTCCACACCCTTCCTTCCTTCCCCACACCCTCCTTCCCTCCACACACCCTCCCTTCCTCCCACCTCCCTTCTTCCCTCCCAACACCATTCCGTTCCTTACCTCCTTCCTTCCCCTCCCTTCCTTCCTTCCCCCTTTCCTTCCCCATTCCGTTCCTTCCCACACCCTCCTTCCTCCCCACCAATCGTTCCTTCCCACCTCCCTTCCTTCCTTCCCACACCCTCCCTTCCCTCCCCACACCCTCCCTTCCCTCCAACACCCATTCCGTTTCCTTCCCCACCTTCCCTCCCCACACCCTCCTTCCCCACACCTCCCCTTCCTCCCCTCCTTCCTTCCCTCCTTTCATTCCGTTTCCTTCCCACACCCTCCCTTCCTCCCACACTCCTTCCTTCCTCCCAACACCCATTCCGTTCCTTCCCACACCCCTCCCTTCCTCCCCTCCCTTCCTTCCCTCCCAACACCCTTCCGTTCCTTCCCACACCTCCCTTCCCTCCTCCCTCCTTCCCTCCTCCCCTTCCTTCCTCCCAACACCCATTCCGTTCCTTCCCACCCCTCCCAACTTACCCCCCCCTCCCCACCTCCTTCCTTCCCTCCAACACCCATTCCGTTCCTTCCCCACCCTCCCTTCCCTCCCCACCTCCCTTCCCTCCCCACACTCCCTTCCTTCCCTCCCAACACCATTCGTTCCTTCCACCCTCCCTTCCCTCCCACACCTCCCTTCCTTCCCTCCCCATTTTCATTTCCTTCCCCCCCTCCCTTCCTCCCCCACTCCCTTCCTTCCCTCCCAACACCCATTCCGTTCCTTCCACACCCCTCCCTTCCTCCCCACACCCCCCGTTCCCTCACAGCAGAGGTCAGACAGACGGAAGGTGATACACAGGTCAGAGAGTCACCACTAGAGCTCCTCCCACACATACTAATCACCATCAATTCACCTTTCTCTTTGAACTCATTAAAGCTTTTATTTCGAGGGTTCTTAAGTGGCAAGACGTGTGTGTGTGTGTGTACGAATGTGTGTGTGTGTGTGTGTGTGTGTGTGTGTGTGTGTGTGTGTGTGTGTCTGTGTGTAACAACAACAATATCCCACATCTTAAACCAAGTCCATTACACTCCCGTTATCAAAATTCGACCTCATGACCTCCAAACATAACCTCGTGACCTCCAAACATGACCTCTGACCTCCAAACATGACCTCTGACCTCTGAAGACGCTATTGGCGTTGAGTACTATAGTGATGACTTCTGTGATAATACGTGTTGTGTACTGGTTCTTCCGTCCTAGTCACACACACACATACACTTTAGCCACACACACACACACACACTCTTTCCCACACACACACACACAGAGAGCCTGTCTCCTCAAGTGCTCTCCTTACCCCCACACAACAGTACGACTCACTAATGCTTGAGAGAATCTATGTTAAAATTTTACCCCAAACTTGACATTTAACCTCTTGAGTACGATGATTTAACACCCCGAGTACGATAACAACACCTTGATTACGATAGCACCTTGACTACGATGACCCCTTGAGTACGATGATTTAACCCCTTGAGTACGATGATTGAGGACATCGTACGGATTATTATTATTATTATTATTGTAAAATTTCCCACACAACACAGTACAACGTTAAGATTGTCACACCCACCCACCCACCCACTCAGAACCAATGCTAACCCTGTCAACACGCCCATGTAAACACCCGCCAAGCTTACTGCCCTACAAGCCGAGGCGCGCCACCCACGCCCACAAACATTATTATGAAAAAGGACATTTCATCCTTTTCGACAACTTACTCGTAGCCACCGCCCACACAACACCGCCCACACAACACAGCCGCCCACACAACACCGCCCACACTCACTCCTTTTACAACACATTAACTTAAGAATGGATATTTGTTTTAGTATTTAGTGGTTAAATGGGCCCCAAGTCCTAATAAAAGTGTCCTCATGGGCCCCAGTCTTAATAGGCCCTGATATACAAAATCAACAATAGGATTGAAGGGAGGGAGGGGCTGTACTAATGGGCCCACCAAACGATAAAATCACATCACAAGACTAAAACCGCCTAACCCACCACAACCTAACAACCACAATACAACACAACAATTATTACCACATATAACAAGATATCATAAAATTTACAACAAAAACAATAAAAAACAGCAATAACAAAAACAAAAAAACAACAAAAATAACAAAAACAATTACAAAAACAACAATAATTACAAAAACAAAGGTATAGAACTAACAAACTCACTCATAATAACATAAAATAACACAATAAACAATATCATCAATAACAATGATAATAACAACACTAGGACTTTTACAATAATTGCATGTCCACAAAAAAATAAGAACTACAATCAATAACAATCACAAGATCTCATTACAACACTAAGACAACAACAACAAGACTAACACAACAAACAAACAACACTAACACAACAACAACAACACTAACACAACAAACAACACTAACACAACAACAAAAACCAACACAACCACAACAACACTAACACAACAACAAACAAAACCAACAAACAACAACACTAACAACAACAAACAACACTAACACAAATAAACAAACAAAACCAACAACAACAACAACACTAACAAAAACCACAAACAACACACTAACACAACAACAACAACACTAACACATCAACAACAACACTAACACAACAACAACAACACTAACACAAACAAAACAAACACTAACACAACCACAACAAATACTCAACACACAACAACAACACTAACACAACAACAACAACAACACTAACACAACAACAACAACACTAACACAACAACAACAAACTAACACAACAACAACAATACCAATTACAAACAAACAACACTAACACAACAACACTAACACAACAACAACACTAACACAAACAAACAACAACACCAACACAACAACAACAACACTAACACAACAACAACAACACTAACACAACAACAAACAAATAAATACAACACAACAACAACACTTAACACAAACAAACAAACAAATACCAACA